CGGCCTCAGGGGAGGTTTCGAGGGGATATCGGGAATAATTCTGGCACCCAGAGGGTTCTCCAGGGACGGGGGGTGTCACTGGTGCCGGGGGGGTTTAAACGACGCCTCGAGGTGACATCTGGGGACACGAGGTGACACTCGGGGACACGGTTTAGCAGCAGAGTTGGCCGCACCACGTTAACAACGAGGGTTGACGATTTTAAAAGCTTTTTTCCAACCCAAATCATTCCCCGATTCGCCAAGTTCCAGAAGTAAAAAAGCAAATTCCCCGATTCGCCAAGTTCCAGAAGGAAAAAAGCAAATCAACCGGCGAGGACGAGGCGATCCCGGCAAAAAAATTTGGGAGGAGGAGGAGGAGGAAAAGGGGATCCACAGCGATTTCTCACCTCTTCCACCTCCAGATCGATGCACCAGATGACTAAGTAATTAGCCGTCTCCTCGCAAACGAGGTGAGGGTTATCGGAGAGATATTTCTGGCTGTCGTCCCAGCGCCGTAGCATCCCTGAAGCAGGGCAGCCCCAGTTAACGGAGGATTTTATTTTATTTTTTTCCCCCCACTCATTAAAAAAAAGAACAATCTCTAAATCTCCTCAGCAAAAAGGGGGGGGAGCAGGGGATGGATGATTCACCCCGACATTCAATTAAACCCCCCCCATCTGAAATTAATGAAGGCGACGCGCTCGGCGGGGTGAGCAGATTCAATTAAACCCCCCCCATCTGAAATTAACGAAGGCGACGCGCTCGGCGGGGTGAGCAGGTGAAAAATCTTGTTGAAAAACCAACAAATTCTCAAATATTTCCTGCAACGAGCGACTTCCCAGCTTCTCCCAGCAGCAGGGGGGGTTCCCCAGCCCAATGGGGGTGTAAACTCCCCAAGAAGGGGGTGCAGCCCCCCCAGAAGGGGGTACAACCCCCCCCCGACCCCTTCCTACCACTCACCGAAGTGTTTGATTTGCTTCTCGTATCTCTCCACGAAAGTTTTGTGTTTTTTCTCTTTCTGTTCCTCCGTTTCCTCCTTCTCCTCCGGTTTGACGTTGAAGACGCTCTGGGGGAGCGGAAGGAGGTGAGTTACCGGCTCAGAACCTTTTTTGGGGGGGGGCACACAGAGGGCTCCCCCAAACCCACCTTGCTGAAGCCGTCCTTGCTGAGGGTATCCACATTCCAGGGCATATTTTTTTCCTTTTTTTTCAACTCCTCCAATTTATTCTCCCAACTCTTCTCCTCGTTCCTCAGCTGCTGCGCCTCAGCCTGGAGTTTTTCCAGCTCCCCTTTCCCGCTCGCCGCGTCCCCTACTTCCAACTCCTTCATTTTTTTCTGGCATTCGGCGAGTTTCCGTTTGCATTCTCTGCAGCCTTTATCCAATTCTTCTTTTTCTTTCTGGAATTGTTCCATCCGCTCCACGCGAGCCTGAAAAAATGGAAATCACGGCGGGATTGACGCTGGGAACGTCCTTAAATT